GCTCCAGTATTCTAGAGAGATTGCATTCCAGGCATGGGGACAGCCTGTGGAAAGGCAGGAACGTCAAGTACAGGCAGAGGCAGGCTGGAGCCAACTCAAAACGGCTCTCGAGACCATTATGACATTTTCATCGTGAGCAATCACACGTTGGAAACTAGCAAATCTACAGATCAGGGCTTGATGAATTGCTTTGTTGATTGTCCAGACTTCAAAAAAGTAATGGAGAAAAATTTAATAATCCAGATTAAACTTTAAAGATTGTTCTGTGTACTTTTTTTTTTGTGGAGAGCCAATTGTTAAACATTTACCAGCACACCTTTGTGTACAGGAACCAGCTAGAACGTCAGTTTGGTTGGAACATTGAGTGCATAGGAAGTAATATGTGATAACCCTGCAAAGGTAAACTGGAGTCAGGTTGGGAAATGCCAGGCTGAGTTTATACCCTAGAGGCAGTAGGGAACCACTGTAACTTCTTGAGCAAGGCAGCAACGGTTTGTCCTGTGCTTTTTGGAATGTCAGTATGGCAGCTGTGTGGAAGGTGGATTGGAGAGGGAAGAAAATAGAGGCAGGGAGACCAAGATGAGCACACTGCCTGGCACGTTGTAGGTGCTTAACAAATGTTTATGTAGGCTATGCGACAGTCCAAGCAAAAAGTGGTGACGCTCCACTTTGTTTCATCATGTTTGATAATGTTTCATCATCAAAACTATCACTGGTCCCTCATTGCCCACAGGGTGAAATTCAGATTCCTCAGACTAACAGTCAAGGTTCTCCACTGTTTAACTCTAACCTTACCTTCCTTTCTTAGCTCTCACTGGCCCCTAGATATGCACCTCGTGTATCAGCTAAGCTGGTCTACATTACTGTTGCCCAGACGTGCCATGGAGCCACCCAACTCCACATCTTGGTTCACACCCCTCCTATTGACTGAAAAGTTCCTCCCCCTTGAATTCATTCAACTAATATTATTAGTAAGCACCTACTGTGTGCTAGGCACTGTGGGAGATACTAGGGATACAGACAGAACCAGAACAGCTCTGCCCTTAAGGAGCTCACACTCCATTGAGGAAATACAATACAGGACACCCAATCAGTCAACCAACCTGAACAAAGTAAGACAAATGAACTTCGAGATGGGGAAGAGCACCAATGACTACGGGGATCAGAGATGAGAGACCCCACCCTCCTTGTTCTGCCCTCTCCCACTACCACACATTTGAACAAGACCCGAAAATGCCTCCCCAGGCATCTCCCCTTGTCCAAATCCCTGCCATCATCATTCTAGACCCAGCAGAGGAGATACCTCCTCTAGAATGTCTTCCTCACTCCCTCCCAAGCCCCTGCCCCTTCTTGCCCCTCCTGTTGTCTCTCATATTTTCCTAGAGCACTTTGGTCCTTTCTTTGGCTCCCAAAATGCTCTACTTCATATTATGCTTATCTGTGTACATGTCATATTCCCCAAGTAGAATGCAAGTTTCTCCAGGGCAGGGAGTATGTCTTTTTTTTTCCAACTTTGTAGAAAGCTGTAGCTATGCTTCCAAAGAAACCAGAGCTTCTAAGAGATAAAGGTAAAGAGGAAGTGCATGCCAGGTAAGGGGACCACATGCAAAAGCATGGAGGTGAGAAATAGGAATGTACAGGGAAAGCTAGAAGGATGACTTCCCCCCAAACCTTATTAATCTTTGTGGTCCAGCTCAAAAACTTCCCCTGACCTCCTATAGCATTTATTGTCCAAACTTCTCAGAATCACAGAATCTCAGAGCTAGAATGGATCTTAGGGATTATCTAATAAACCCTCCCATTTTACAGATCAGGAAACTAAGGCCTGGGGAAGCCAGCTCTCTGCCCTACCACATAGCTTCATTAAGCACATATTTATCATTACTTATTTTTCCATAGGTCATATTTCTAAGTCCAAAGATAGATTGTGATTCCATGAGGTCACAGATAATATCAACCTCCCCTAGATGAACAAATGCCACTTTCCTGAGCAGGGCAGAGACAATGCCATCCCTTCTAGGCATGGTCATCCCAGCAGCCAGTCAGTGCTGTGTTGCCTACAGGCTAAGCTGTACCCTTGGGATCTGAGCCAGGATGCAGCCTGGATCACAGTAGGAAAAGCAGAGAAAGTTGATTTGGTTCCAGAACTGATTAGGGATGGGGAGGGTTTGAAGGAGGGGATGGAGAGGAAAGAGTACATGATAAAGCAGTTAAAAAGCTGTGGAAGAGATGGGCAGAGATTCAAGAGTGAAGTCAAGTAAGGTGGCTAAGACTTTCTTTAAATATCAGTGTGGGAGAGGCAGTCACCAATCAGGACAATGAGACCCCGGGACAAAAGTTCCTCCAGGTCAGCAAGATGGTTGGTAATAGAGTCATTGGAGTTTATTTCACAGGGTGGTGACTTTCCCAACTGTACTTTAGGAAAAAACCCCTGGCATGGATAAATTGAAATTAGAAAGGCTTGAGGTAGAGAAATAAATAGATGGCTATTGAGATAGTCCAGGTGAGAAGAGATAAGGGCCTGAAGCAGGCTTGTAGTTATATGAGAAGAGAGAGGAAGATGTAGGTGAGAGATAGAGATTGCAATGGATTACAAATCCTAACAAAGGACTGAATACAGGGGAGAGGGGGAAGAGATAAAGGGGAAAGGAGGAGGAGGAGGAGGAGAGAGAAAGAGACAGAGAGAAATCTACGAGAGTTGGGGGTTTGAGAGGAAAGGTCGTTTAGACATGTTGAGTTTGAGGTGCTTGTGGGACATCCTGCACCACAGGTACTTATTTAGATGGAACTAGAACTCAGAAGAGAGACTACAGCTGGATAAATGTATCTTGGAATCATCTGCATAATAATGCACAGGGTAGTCTGCCCCACCCACCCAAAATAATGTAACCAGAAAGTTCTGATACAGAGACTGAATCAATCAATCAATCAATCAAAAGTAAACTAGATGTAAGTGTGAATAAATCCTCAAGTCATTTTGAAAGGATCCTGAGGTTTAGGGTGATTGGATTAAAACAGGTGCCACCACACAGGAAATATCTTGTGACTCTGGGCAGGGGCGAGGAACCTCTGCCTGAAGGCCACATGTGGCCTTCTAGGTCCTTGGGCGGCCTTTTGACTGAGTCCAAGTTTTACAGAACACATCCTTTTATTAAGGACATTTGTTCTGTGAAGTTTGGATTCAGTCAAAGGGCCACACTTGAGGACCTAGAGGGAGGCCACAGGTTCCCCACCCCTGCTCTGGGCCATCTCCAGCTGTTCTGATCTATATCTGGCCATTGGACCCAGATGGCTCGGAGCATAAAGTGAGGCTGGTGACTTTGCACAGCGCTGCCTCACTTAAATCCAATTCACCTGCAAGTCATGGCATCATCTTCCTGATGTCATGGTCCTCTTTGAGAGCAACAGACAAGCCACAAGCGCAATCTTGTGACTAACTGAAAGAATTAAACACGTCTTTGGGTCTACAGATCACATGAGGAGTCAATTTGGAAGCAAATATTCCAGTCTAGGTGAAGGACTCCTGAGGGAACTGCCAAGGGGGAGGGGAGAGAACATTTTCTGTCTTTCTCTCCCTTGTCCTCGTCTCCCCATTGACCAGATAATAACACCTTGAATTTCAGAATCGCAGCTCTGCAGTTCCCATCAGCATCGGTAGCATCATCCGCCAGTGCTGCTAATTGTGTCTTTGGAACAGTAGTGACAGCAGCAGCATGAATGGACTGCCAGGCGAGAGAGAAACCTCGGACGGACTAGACGCACCGAAGAAAGGCAGCTTCAGGACCTGGTCCTCACGTCCAGAGCCGAGCAGAGCAACACCCATAAGGATTCTGTGAAAGGAGAGCTCTGGGTTCACCCTTTGGTCACATGTGCTCTCTAAATTTGAGCCTACCCATCCCCTACCCCCCCATCCTGTGGATGGGAGAGGAGAATGCACCCCCAGCTCGGAGGATGACTTTGCGATACTGATCCTGGGCCACTGCCAGTGTCTTGACCTTTGTCCTGCCACTGGACTTTGGATGACTCAGCTCCACTCATATCCAATTCATTCACAAATCAAGGGTCCTTCTCATGATGACATTGGTCCTCTTCGAGAATGAACAATAGGAAAAACAGGTATGTGTGTGTATGTTTATATGCATATGTGTATGTTTGTGGTTATTAACACATATATACATACATGTGCAACGCTCAATTGAATGATACATTTATACGTGTACATAATGTATAGATTATATTGAATATATGGTCATGCATTTTACCTAGATTGTATATGTGTGTATATATATATATATATATATATATATATACATATGGTATATGTGTATACATACACATATATATATATTTTTTAATTTAATTTTATTTTTTTACATGGTACCTTCTCCAATCCCAAGGAACTTCTAGGGCTTTACTCTGGGGCCATTTCTCAGGTCCTAGAGAGGAAACAAGGCCCACCCTTGCCCCTAGAATAGCCTGACTAAACCCTCTAGTAGAACCAAAGCCTTTTGCCCTCACCCAGAACCCCTAACTCAGAGCCTCACCGTAGAAAGGAGCCAGGTGGTCACAGAAATCGGGCTGGGCATTTGGCCCTTCTCCCACTGGCCCCACCAAACCACCCAATCACTCTCCCAAGCCAAACCTTTAACTCCAGTCCTATTCTTTTTCCTCCTTTGCACTGAGTTCCATTCCAGCCACCTGTTTATTTCTTTCCTTTGTACCTTTGGCCTGGTCTTGTACCTGGGGCACCTTCCTCTTCCTACCTTTCAAAGCTGCCTTCCTCCTTCAGGGATACGACCTGATTAGTATAAATCATTTTCCTTCCAAATACTCCAGGGTTGGTCACTGACACGTTGGCAGCCTGGCTGTGGGCATCCTGCTCATTCCCATTCCCCAGCACCTTTGTGCTCGAGACAACTTGGCCCCTCCTTTATTTCTGCACTTCAGGAAACACGAAAGGCATGGAATAGTAAAATGAGTAAGTAAACCACTCTACTTACTTGATGAAGTACACAGCTCCTTCCTGGGTGAAGCCCATCTCCCAGCCTTTGGGCAAATCTGAAAAGATCCATCCACACAGTCAGAATCATACATCATCATCATCATCATCCTCACTGAACATTAACACTTAAAGGTTTGCAAACCACCTTGTTGCAAAGCACTTTATAAATATTATCTCACTTAATCCTCTCAACAACTCTAGGAGATAGGTGCTATTATTACCCCCATTTTATAGTTGAGGAAACTAAGGCAGAGGTTAACAACAACAATAATAATAATAATAGCTAACATGTATATAGAGCTTACTATGTGCCAGGCATACTATGTGCTAAGGTACTTAACAATTACTATCTCACTTGATCTTCACAGCAACCCTGGGAAGTAAGTGCTGTTACTATCTCTATTTTACAGATGAGGAAACTGAGGCAAACAAGATTAAGTGACTTGCCCAGGGTCACAAAGCTAGTATCTGAGGTTAGATTTGAACTCAGGTCTTCTTGACTCCAAGCTCTATCCACTGAGCCACTCTAGCTGCCCCCAATAGAAAGTAAGTCCCTTGAAGGCAAGGACTGTTTTATTTTTTTTTGTCTTTGTATCCCCATCCCCTAGCATAACCCCTGGCACATAACAGACACTTAGTAAATGTTTGCTGATTGACTAATTGATCCAAGGATTATTCATGGATGCAGATCAAAACCCCTTCCCTGTTCTTCAAAGGCACATAGAATCAAAGGACCACAGATTTGGAGCTGGCAGGGACCGCAGAGGCTGACCAGCCCAACTTCCTTAATTTATGGAGGACGAGCCCAGGTTGGCACAGGTTACACAAGTATTGAGTGGCAGAGGTGGGTTTTGAACCCAGGTCCTCACCCTCCTAAACCATTACCCTTTCTTTGTTATGCTAAAAGAATGTATCTCCTATCGGAGAACCCCTCTGCCATTGGGCCTCTCTAAGCTCAGCTAGGCTAAGTTCCCCAAACAAAGACATGCCTGTTGGTGTCTTTTGGACCCACGAATCTGTTGCACCCACGCTCAAAGCCTTTACAATTTAGTTCGAGAGTTGCCAGAACTTATGCTCTGCTAGCCTTTAAAAACCCAGAGTCACCTCCATGCTAGAATGAAGCAACAGAGCCTAAGAAGTCTCATGGAAGCCTTGCACATAGTAGGTGCTTAATAAATATTTGGTGTGGGGGCAGCTAGGTGGCGCAGCAGATAAAGTACCGGCCTTGGAGTCAGGAGGACCCAAGTTCAAATGTGGCCTTAGACACATACTAGCTACCTGTGTGACTCTGGGCAAGTCACTTAAACCCCATTGCCTCCAAACTTTAAAAAAAAAAGGGCGGGGCATAAGGAACAAAAGGTAAAGTCTTCTGGGGCAGCTAGGTGGAGCAGTGGATAGAGCACAGGCCCTAAAGTCAGGAGGACCTGAATTCAAATCTGGCCTCAGACCAAGCACTTGACACTTACTAGCTGTGTGACCCTGGGCAAGTCACTTAACCCCAATTGCCAATCAATCGATCAATCAATCAATAATTGGTGAATTGATTTACCCACTGACACATCCTCCCAGTCAGGCATGTCCTTTCCCCTTTGCTCCAATGAACATTTATTCCACAGGACTTGGGTTGGCATCCTGCCCCAATTAGAGGGAATCCCATGAGTCAGAAACACAGTTCTGTGTCCCTGGGCTTGTCAAAGTGATTTCCTTCTCCTTCCATTTCCCATTCCTAGGACAGACCTCTGCCCTCCCCTCCACAGAACCCACTCTGCCTCAGCATCACCAACTATTCAACAGCTGACATTCAATACAGGGACCCTTTGTTCTTCTATGTCCTGAGATATCATTGAGGCAGCTCCTCTCCCCTCTTCCTGCATGAAGGAATCCCCTTTCTAAACTTGAGAGGGAATTCACTTACTGGCTCCCTGGGGCCACAAAGAGTAGATTGGATGAGCTGGTCTTGTTAATTCTTTTTTTTTTTCTGTGATTAAGTGATCGGGATTAAGTGACATGCCCAGGGTCACACAGCTAATAAGTGCCAAGTGTCTGAGGCGATATTTGAACTCAGGTCCTCCTGACTTTAAGACTGGAGCTCTATCCACTGCACCACCTAGCTGTACCTGGTCTTGTTAATTTTAAAATCCAGTCTAGGACAAATAATGGGAAAGGCCTCTGACCCTTAAACAGCCATACCACTGCATCTATGCTCAGGATGCAAAGAAATCAGGCAAATGAGAATATACTTCAGATATGGGTTGGTTTGGCAGGCAGGCAGCAGGCATTAAGTGCCCACTATGTACTAGGCACTATGCTAAGCACTGAGGATACAAAGAAAGGCAAAAGACAGTCCCTGCCCTCAGGGAGCTCACAGAGACAACATGGCAGACCATTACATGTACAAGTACTCTCATAATGAGCTCTATTTTGAACAAGTTGAGTTTGAAATGTCCCAATGATCACCTCCCAACTAATTCTTCAATCCCTATGGGTCTCCCATACCTGGTTTTTTATCTTATAAGTACCCAAGGTTTATGGCATCAAACATTTGTATTCTAGTCAGAAATAAAAGGAAAGAGAAGGAAATAGATAATCTTAATGCATCAGCAAAATTGCTTATCTTCATAGAAATTTTTCTAAAATATCAAAAACCCTTTTCAATTTCACCTGCTTTCCTTGTTGTCCCAAGGAAGAGTTATGAGCAGAGTTCACTCCTTGGCTTCACATCCCTTAAGCTTTCTCTAATAGGTTTGTACATGTTGAATTTGCATTTGTTTGTATGTTTATCTCACATCTTTTTTTATCTTTATGCAATGAGAAGCCACAGCTTATCAGCTACACTGATTACACAAACCCAAACTGGGGAGGGACAGTCAACCGTGTTTGATGAAAGAATAATGATCCAAAAAAAAGAATAATGATCCAAAATAATAGGCCAAACCCAATACAATGAAATTTAGTTGGGATAAATATAAAGTCCCACCCTAAGATTTAAAAAGTCAACTTCAGAAATACAAGCTGGAGAGATAGGGCTAGACAACAATTTTTCAAATTGCTCTCCATCTGGGGATTTCAGGAGAGCACCAGTTCAGTAGAGTAAACAGGGAAGCAAGCAAGGGCAGCCAAAAAAGTTAATACAATAATAAAGTTTGCTGAGAAGCATAGTGTCTGCTTCTATTACATTTTGCATTATATTCAGTCCTGGGCATTACAAAGAAACACACTGACAAGCTAGAAAGCATTCAGGATGAGGAAAGGACTGAAGAAAAATCAATCCATCAAATTGAGGGAATGCCCATCAATTGGGGAATGGCTGAACAAGTTGTGGTATGTGAATGGAATGGAATACTCTTGTGCTGTAAGAAATGATGAGCAAGTGGACTTCAGAAAAACCTGGAAAGACTTGTATGGACTGAAGGTGAATGAAGTGAGCAGAACCAGGAGAACGCTGTACACAGTAACTGCCATGTTGTACAATGACTAATATTGACAGACTTAGCTCTTCTCAGCAATGCAAGGATCTAAGACATCTCCAAAAGTCTCATGATGGAAAATGCTATCCACATCCAGAGAAAGAACTATGGAGTCTGAATGCAGATCGAAGCATACTATTTGCTCTTTTTTTTTCTTCTGTTTTGTTTCGTTTCTTCTTTCTTGTGGTCCCTCTTATTGGTTCTAATTCTTCTTTACAACATGACTAATATGAAAATATGTTTAATAGGAATGTATATGTAAAGCCTAAATCAGATTGCAAGCTGTCTGGGGGAGGGAGGGGGAGAAAATGAAAAACTCAAAAGCTTATGGAAGTGATTGTTGAAAACTAAAACTAAATTAATTAATTAAAATTTAAAAAACAAAAAAAAGGAAAATCAATCCACCAATTATTAAATACTACAGTGTTCTAGGCATTGTATGATCATGTGAGAGCTGGTAGAAGGAAATGGGGATTGTTTAGCCTGGAAAAGAGAAGACTTATATTGTTCGATCGTATCCAACTCTTCATGACCCCATTCAGGGTTTTCTTGGCAAAGATACTAGAGTGGTTGCCATTTCCTTCCCCAGTTCATTTTACAGATGAGGAAACTGGTTCAGGGTCACATAGCTAGTAAGTGTCAGAGACAGGATTTGAACCCAAGTCTTTCCTGACTCCAAAGTCCTCCCCTCTTTTCACTACAGTCTATTGAAATCTCTGTGACTGAAGGATATTGCTGTGTCCCAGGATGGATGACATGGAAGATCCTCCAGAGATAAAAGCAGTCACAGGCAAAGTCAGAGAGTTTCTGCAGTCTTCTTATAGGCTATTGTCATTGCTGAGGCTAAGAGACAAACAGTAAAGCAGTAGGGACAGACTTGTTCTTTACCTGGGCTGGAGACTTGTCCGCTCTGGATAGGAGATTCTGTGCCTGGATGCACCCAGCTAGTTGATTCTTTCTCATCACTGCAAGAACCCCAAAAGAAATATCAGACTCCAAAGATGGCGACCTTCCCATAAACCAATGCTTCCTCGCACTCTGCTCCTTTCTGCCCCCTAACCCTCTGGTCATGTCAACATTATGACCGTTCAGATCCAAATACATATGGAAATACAAACTCCTCTATCTGGCGTTTAAAACCCTTCACAACCTGAGTCTGACCTATCCGGCCAGACTTATTCTACATATACCACTCCTCTGCCTGCATTCTCCCCCCCATCCAGACGTCTGCCCCTCACGGGACAGTCCACCTCTTGTCTCCATGCCCAGAATGCCCTCCTTCCTCCCCTCTATGCCTTAGAATCTTTAGTATCTTTCAAAGGTCCAGCTCAGGCACCACTTTATCCATGAGGCCTGTACATGAGACCCTCCTGCCTGCTAGCACCTTTCTCTGTGCGTCTTGCATTTGCGACATGTATATGTATATGGATAGATTGCTTATATTTCATGTATATCTATCTATATATCTATATATAGAGATACACACACACACACACATATGGGCAGACACACAAAACAAATGAGTATACACAAGATACAGATATAGACATCTCTATGTCTATATATATAGACATATCTACACACATAGACAGATATCTTGCATATACACATGTGTATACATTTCTCCCCACATATATGTGTGGGGTAACCTATGTCTCTATCTTGCATATATTCATATGTGCACATGTCTCCCTAGATAGAATGTAAACTCCTTGAGGGCAGAGGCTGTTTTTTTTTTTTATCCCCAGTATCTGGCATATAAGCGCTTAAATTCAAGTGTCATCAGGCATTTCCTGATCTCCCCAGATGCTAGTGCTTCCCCTCCCCCATTCCCTGAAATTAACCTGTGTATGTGTGTATGTAAAGTAGTGTATATGGTATATTGTATAATACATATATTATATATATTATATTATATGTGTGCACATATATACTTATACGGGGGCAGCTAGGTGGTGCAGTGGATAGAGCATTGGCCCTGGAGTCAGGAAGACCTGAGTTCAAATCTGGCATCAGACACTGATACTTACTAGCTGTGTGACCCTGGGCAAGTCAGTTAACCCCACTGCCTAGCAAAAAACAAAAAACACAAACAAACATATATATTTATATGTTTAGATTAGATAGAGTGGTTATCTATTAGGGCTCTATCAGTGGAGAGAGCTGGAACTGGATTGTATGTATAATATCATAAAATATATATGTGTATATATAAAATAATGTGTATATAATATGATATAATATATATAACATAGTATATGTGTGCATACATTATATACACAGAGTATATGTTTCTATTGAGGGAGTTAAGCACACAGTAAGATAGAGCTCTGGGCCTAGATTGTACATGTAATATATAGTATATATTTATATTGAATATATAGTATAGGCAGCATTACATATATGTACATATATATTATAACTAAATGTAGTATATATATTTTATGTGTATATATGTATATTGAGAGTTAGGTCATGCAATGGATAAAGCTCTGGGCCTGGATTGTATATATAAAATATATAGAATATACTTATATTTAATCTATATATGTGCAGGATTGTACATGTATGTATGTATATATTACCTTCTAGGTCCTTGGGTATGGCCTTCTGACTGAGTCCAAGTTTTACAGAACAAATCCTTTTATTAAGGGGATTAGCTCTGTAAAGTTTGGATTCAGTCAAAGGGCTGCTCTTGAGGACCCAAAGGGCCACATATGGCCTCGAGGACTCAGGTTCCTCACCCCTAAATACACACAAAGTATATACTTTTATGTGTAGATATGTATATTGAGGCAGTGAGGTCATGCAGTGGATAGAGCTCTGGGCATGGATTGTATATATAACAAATATAGTATATATTTATATTTAATATATATGTATATATAGTATCCCCCTCCTAGATCACTGCCTTGTCATGGTAGAGGGGCTTCCGTAGCTCAATGGAACTATGAACTACACCATGCAGGGTTACCCAACAGAGACAGGTCATAGTAGAGAGTTCTAACAGGTTTTCTACTGGAGAAGGAAATAGCAACCACTCTAGTATCTTTGCCAAGAAAACCCATGGGCAGCTGGCTTGGTGTACTATGGTCTATGAGGTCATGATGATTCATCCATGACTCGACAACAACAAAATAGACAGTATTGTATATGATGTATGTATATAATATATATAAATATAGTGTTTACTTGTATGTGCATATGTTTATACCAAGGCAGTTGGATCACAGTAGACCGAGCTCTGGGCCAGGAGTTAGGACGACCTGAATTCAAATCTGACCTCAGAAACTTGCTAGCTACGTACCCCTGCGCAAATAATTTAAACCTCGCTGCCTCAGTTTCCCCGTCTGTACAAATGAGATTAATAATAGTACCAAACTCCCAGCCTTATTGTGATGATCAATAAAATACTTTGCAAACCTTAAAGTGCTACATAAATGCTAACTATTATTATGTTTTTCTCCCCAGACAGAATGTTAGTTACTGGAGGTGAAGAACTGTTGTTTCATTTTTAACACTATATCCTTAGTACCTAGTAAAGGGCCTGGCATATATCAATCGAGTGTTTAAAAATTACTAGTTGGTTAATTGATTGACTAATGGAACCAAACCTCAGTCTTTTGAATGGATTAAGAGACAGCCAGCCATCTTGATGATTTTTCTCAGAGACTGTGACATCAAGATTGGGAAGCGACACCCTCTGACTTGCTAAAGCTGCCTCCTTGACAATGATCTAGATTTCAACCACTTCAAAAATCTCAGTCCATTTTCCGCTCTCCAATCCAGGTGAGTGGAAAAATACCCAGATCTTTGGGTTTAAGGAAGGGCTGTTGAGAGGTAATCTAGTCCACCTTCCTGCCTCAGAACCAACTTTGGCCCCACCCTCCCTTCCATGGGAAACTCATCTATGGTTAAATACCTTCTACATAAGGAAATTTCCCAGCAGATTTGAAGTTGTTTTTAGAAGAGAGGATAGCAAGTGGCCTTCCCTCAGCTTCCTGGGCTACTGAAAAGCTGGCTGGTTGGTCTCCCTGCCTCTAGCCTCTCTACACTCCAAACCATCCTCCACTCACCTGTCAAATTGCCTTCCCCCACTCAGTCAATTCCAGTGGCTCAGTGGCTCACTTATTACCTTCAGGATCAAACATAGAATAATTCTTCTTCTCCTCCTCCTCCTCCTCCTTTTTCACAATTGGGGTTAAGTGACTTGCCCAGGGTCTCACAGCTAGTGTCTGAGGCAGGATTTGAACTTAGGTCCTCCTGATTCCTTCCTGATTCCTAAAGGGCCAGTGTTCTATCCACTGCATCACCTTAAAGCCCTTCACAACCTTTTCAGTCTTCTTACTAACTTACTCCCCTTCATATACTTTCCAATACAGTGACTCTGGCCTCTTCTCAGTTCCTCATACAAGATTCTACCTCACCATCTCTTAGCATTTTCACTGACTTTCTCCCATACCTGGAAACTTTCTCCTCATCTCTGCCTCCAAGGTTCCCTGGCTTCCTTCAGGTCTCAGCTAAAGTCTCACCTTCTGAAAGCAGCCTCTCAATCTTAGTGCCTTCCAGCACTGAGCTGGAACCTGCTGTCCCAGTAGCTTCCTAGAACTGATGGTGAAATTTTCAATGCGAGCTTTAGCACCCTGAAAATTGGCAAACTACAAATCACAGCTTGATTTATTATCTTTTTTCTTGATTGTCTAGACTTAAGAAAGTGATGGAGAAAATATTAATAATGCAGATTAAAAGTTATGTGGGTATAGCCATGGCCACAAAGAGCCAATTGTTCAACATTTGCCGGCACACTTCTAGAATTTATCTTGTGTATCAGAGCTGTCAAACACACCACTGCAACACTCCTGAGTGCTTCCAACCAGATGAAAATGTAATTGGGAAATAGTTAACAAAACAAATAAAACTACAATAGAACACTGATAATATTAATACTTGGTTTTCTAAGTCAATACATAGCCTGCAGGGATATGTATGTGTGTGTGTGTGTGTGTGTGTGTATGTATGTGTATATGTGTGTGCATGTATAGTATATACATATATATACACACCTATCGATCCACACATATACACGTGTGTGTGTGTATGTGTGCGTGTGTGTCTCAGTGGATAAAGCAGTCAGGAAGACTTGAGTTCAAATCTGGCTTCAGATACTCACTAGCTATGTGACCCTGGGCAAGTCACTTAACCTCTGTTTGCCTTAATCCACTGGAGAAGAAAATAGCAAACCACTCCAGTAGCTTTGCCAAGAAAAGCCAATATGGGGTCACAAAGACTCAGACATGACTGAAACGACTGAACAACAATGATATATGGTTTAGTGCCCCTGTTTCAATTTGAGTTTGACACCACGGCTATATAAATCTTGTTTGTGTATGGTTGTTTGCACGTCGGCTCCCCTATCAGATTGTGAACTTCTTGAGAACACAGATTGTCTTTTGCCCTTCTCTGTTTATCCCCAGCACTCAGCACAGTGCTTGGCACATACTATACAGTAGGTGCTTAATAAATGCCTGTTGCTGGATTGGTTGATCTCCAAAGTTTTTGTGAGTCAGAGGACAGCAGCCCTTTACACTCCTAAGAGGAGGAAGTGCCAGTGACGGTGTCCAGCCAAACAGTAGCCTTCCAGCATCCTAGGACTGCCCCACGTCCACTCTAAGGCAGAGCCTATGAGGAGTCTCCAGAGGAGGACGGATGAGCTAGGTGGGGAACGTGCTGGTTAGATGCTCCTATTGCCTGAGAACATCCTGGAGTCAATGGGAAGACAACCCTGATCAGCTGCTGAGAAGAATGCTAGGTTCAAGATGTCGCTGAAGCTCTAGATCCCTGGTCTTGGCTCTGGTCCCAGGAGGAAGAGAAGGAGAGGAGAGTCTGAAAAAGTTGGGCAAGGGCTCTGAGCAAGGGATTTCAAATAGGCATCCATAATGAAGGGTGGGGTGGGGGAGAGAAGGGATGGATGATGGGGAAAAGATGATTAACTGTAAATGTGTTGATAATAACTCACATTTATAGAGTGCTTTCCAGATTTCTTGCCAAAGAAGCTTTTAGCAAGTGACCTCAGAAGCTAGCCCAAGGCCAAGGACTTCAAAATAGTTAATTTCAAAGATGACATAATAATAGCATTAATAGAGATGAGGCTGATAACAGCAGCAATTCAGGAGCTAAAGTTCAAGGCTCAGCCCAGCAGGGCACCGCCCTAACCTTTCCTGCCTTATCTCTTCTCACTCTAAGCTCCAGCCCGAGGGTGGGGAACCTGCAGCCTCCAGGTCACATGTGGCCCTCCAGGTCCTCAAGCGTGGCCTTTTGGCTAAATCCAAACTGTGAGTCCAGCCTAACTCCCCGCTCCTGAGCCTACCAGGTGCTGACTGCCTTCATCTGCGCTTCGGCCGACCCAATCCCTATGCCTGGAATGGCATTCCTGCTTCTCCACCTTCTCAGATGCCAGCTCTTCCACAAAGTCTTCCCCAGTCCCCCCAGTCTTTAGTTGCCTTTCCCCTCTGAATGTACACATATGGTTTGGGTTGGTTATTTTTTCCAGTTTTGTTGATACACTTCATGTATACATTAGTTACCTGTGCTTACATCTTAGCCCCCTCTGAGACTATGTGTAATTATGATGTTTGTTCTCAAAGAAGAAATATGATCCTCCCCCTACCTTTATAGATGGTTCTTTCTACTCTACTATGTTATGGAAATGCTTATTTTATTTCTCAAATTAAGAATAAAATAAATACTTTTTAAAAAAAGAAGTAGAGGATTACAGGTATGGAACATTGAACATAGTAAAAAATTAGTCGCTGTACTCTCTTTGCTGAAATCATCCCCGCCCCCAGTTCTTTTTTACTTTTCTGTTCATGAGGTCAGGGACCATGTCTTCTGAACATGAGACTTCCCTAGGGCTCAGATCAGTACTGTGCTCAGGTAGCTACTTAACGTTTGTTAAAGGAATGAATGAATGAATGAATGAATGAATGAATGAATGAAATGTAGACACTGATGAATACGGTCAAATAATTCAATAGCACAGAAATTACTGGGGAAAGAGCAACAGCCTAGGAATTAGAAAACCAGGACTCTAGTTCAGAGTACAAGTAGCGATTTGACCTTAGTTAAGTAATTTCATCTCCACAGAGAAGATACCATAGAAGTAATGTGATGCAGGAGATAGACACCAGACCTAAAGTCAGGAAGACATGGGTTCAGATCCACCACTCAGACCTCTTATAAGCTTTGGGACCCCAGGCTAGCCAATTAACCTGAGTCTCAGTTTCCTCATCTCTAAAATGGGAATAATAAAGAACCTACCTTTCATAGGCTTCTGTGAAGCTCAAATGAGATTATATAAATACGCATATTTATAAATATACACATGAATGTTTTTATATGCTGTGTATATGTGTAAATATATGTATGTATAGATATATAAATATGTGTTTGTATATGTGTATGTGTGTGTATGTGTGCAGACAGAATATATATTCTATACAAATATATATTTGTATATATGTATATGCATGTGTATATATACACATATATGCATGTATTCTATATACAAAGATATACGTGTATATACATGCACAAAGATTATATATATACATACAAAGATATATATGTGTATATATATATGCATAGGCACGCGTGTGCACACACACACACACACATCTTTGTAATGTCAGGTATATCTCCCTGTGCCCCACTCTCCACCTTCACAATGAGATAATTGGACTAGGATCCTTAAAATCTCTTCCAGCCCTTTAACATTTTCAAGTTCACATACAACTAATGGTTCTTGTGGAACCAAGTACCTAAGATGTCCCCAGATTCATATGAGTTAAGAAAGTAAAAGCATGTGTTGTCGATAATAGTAATGCCTCTGCTTATTCTTTTAAAAACTCCACACGTGATGGGAGTATCTTACCCTTTTCCCAGTCCTTCATGGACAGCAAAGGGGTAGGGGTGTGTTGATTAGCCCCATTTTACAGAAGAAAAAAAAAAGAAACTTGTCCCTAGAAGGCTAAGGAGAGTCTCCTGATATACTTTTCCTTGTAGCCTAAGCATCCTGCTTTCCTTAAATGTTTTAGAAAAGTCTAAAAAAGCCCAGCAGTGACTCTGCTCCTGCTAGGAGACAGAATTGGAAGGAAGGTGTATTAGACTGGACCCTGGAGGACCAAGGGCTTTAGACCAAGCCTCTCCCTCCTCCTCTAAGCCTTCAATTCTTCTGCTGTGACAGGGGAAAGGGCCCTTCCTTGTCATGCCCTTCTAAAGACCTTTTAGGTGGGTGAATGAATGAGTGAGTCTTTATAGGACTTTGAACCTTTGGGAAAAAGGCGGGAGAGACATTCAAACAAATAGCGTGATAAACTTAGTCATACTTTATCACCACCTTCCCCTGTCTCTGGGTCACTTTCCTATCCCTGCCCTTATCCCCCAACCCAACCAACTAAAACATACTTGAGGGTGAGGGTGAGGAGGATTTTTAAGCGGAAAAGATAAATTAAGAAACCAACAAACATACTTGATGAAGAAGATTCTGCCACCACAGTCAACTCCGTAGGTCCAGCAGCCAGGCAGATCCAGCCAATCAATCTCATCAGCCATCTCAATACTCAATAATCCTTTCCCACCTCCTCAGGCAATAAGCTCACTTGGGCCTTCTCTCCTCCTGGTATTCTCCTTCTCCAGGAGCCTCCACTCTCCACCTCCTCTCAGGAAGCTGAGGTAGTGAAGTCAGGCCAGCCTGGTGCTAAGTTCCAGTCCACCTCTTGGATTTCCAGGGCAGCCTGGCCTCTCACCCAAGGAATACTGGCTGAAACAAACTGGGAGTCAACAGCGGGGTAGAGACCTTGACACAACAGAGGCCAGCTCAGCATCCAGGTTTACAAGTCTCAGAAGCCACACCAGACACCACCTGCCTTCTCCTGCAGTCTGAGTCCATTGCTTTCCTTCAGACTGCCTCCTTAACTTTAATTACTGACAATTAGTTTGGGGTGAGTAATTATGACGTTTCCCTCTGCCTATACAGTTACCCAGAGCAGATATCCCTCGGCACCGGGGCTCTCTGGCTTTCTCGGGTCTGGCTCACTAGCTGAAGGGCAGAAGTTGTCCGAGGATTCCAAACAGAAAGGAACCGTCTGTCATGTAGGGAAATGGGTGTTGGCTTCTAAGCTCAAAGCTACCCAGTCAGCCAGCCTTTAAATTTACAGGTGCCTGGGAGAAAGGAAGGCGGAGTCAAGCCAACACCTAGGAGCAATAGTCACAGGCAGACTGAACACCCCAGAAGCCTGGCTGATCTCCCGTCTTGGGGCGCAGGGGGAACCAGTTTGACTGAAAGAGACTTGAATCACAGAGTGTGAAAAACATGTCCAGTCAGTGACGGAAGTGGGGAATGTGGTCAAAGTCTGGTTCAGCTTGGTGGGAGGTCAGGTGAAGATCAAAGGTTAGGGGAGGAGAAAGGGGTCCCTCACATCCATGCCCTCTCCACAAGAGATCCCTTTCCAAGATGCCAGTCAGACCAGCCAAGTTAATCCTCCACTTTTCATTCAATCATTCCCCTCTAGGAAGCCTGCCATGACTAAGCAGAATCGGGACACTAATAACTCATGACTTAGCCTGATATCCCACCTCAAAGTTTGCAAAGCCACATTCCTCACAAAAACCCTGTAAGGCAGGAAGTACGGGTATTATGATTGCATTATACAAATGAGGAAACTGAGGCTCAGATGGGTTAAGTGATTTGCCTTTGCTGTGTGAAGAGCTAGCGAGGGGAGGTGCTGGGATTCGCCTGGCTCAAAGTCCAGTGTTCTTTCCATTAAAATACACTGTTTCCCCTTCTGAGATTTTACCTACATCAATCACCACCAATAGTCTTCTTCCCTCCAATAATACCCTCATTTGCCCAAGGATGGGAAATAAAGGGGGAAGAGTGAGAGCTAGAGAATCTAGTTTATGAGTGTTACGATATGAATGTTTAAACATTGTTTCTCCTTTTAGCATCTCTCTCAGAAAATAGGGACTATTTCAGCTGTCTCCTAGTACACTGGGCACACTGGTCAATTATAGATGCATGTTGACCTATGAGCACATGGGGTATCATACAGAAAATGTGTGATCAGAAAAGGAGGTGAGTGGTCAGATGTCAAGAGGAAGGGATAACAGAGGGATAGCCCTGGTACCGCCCTAGATCCTGTGACACATAAAAGGGTATAGACCCTGGGGAAGGCTTTTAGCCCCTAGGGTAGTTCCTCTGTGGCTAACTATGGGAGAACATGAGCAAGAATTACATCAGAGGAGAAGGCTTGGATAGGATGTAATCTATACCAATAGAGGGAATATATCAATGAGATAATAGATCCCCAAAAATGCAAGTTTTGAAATACAATGATGCTCATGGAAGCCAGATAGGTCTTTGCTGTGTCAAAGCTAGGGTACTACCATCTGCTTGGAGCCTGTACCTGAAAGTAAAGAGCGTTCACAACTTGCTTCCATTTCTTATACCTAAAAGTAAGATAAACAGGGTTGTAGATGATGGGAGAAGCATCCGCTGGTCAGGGACTTGATTTTAACTTAACAATAAGTCAATGAGCTGTGGATTGTTAGAGCTAGGAGTCCAACGTAAGGTGATACACTGACGTTCCACTTGGGTCAACATGCTTTCGATATTACACTTCCAAAATGGGGGAAAAAAATTGGCAACTCTAATACTCTTATGACTTAAAGCACTTTGGAGAACTAATCTCAGTTCTGACTATAATCCATCTTCTGAATTCCAGTTAGGGGTGAGACTTTACAAGTGGATGCTGAATATAACCCAAAGGAAATTTGGGGGAGCCTAGGGAACAGGAATGGTGAGCACTTTCAGTGCTGTCACTTAGGAAGAACCTAACTCGTGCCTGCCTCTTTCAGTTTTCCCCACAGCAATGAGAGGGTTAAACTTTCTACTGGGGAAGAAGAGGATATGGACCCAACTGGTCTCCTTGCCTCCGGTCTCCACCTCTCCCACAAATCTTCTCCACAGGTATCAAATTGATATTGCTAAAGAATAGGTCTAACCAATCACCCTCTTGATAGAGAAGCTTAAGCAGTTCCCTAAGAGATACTCCTACTCCTAAGATAAAATGTAAACTTTTCTGTTTGGCATTTAAAGCCCTCCACAATCTGGCTCCAATTATCTTTTTCAAATTGATTTCATATTCCCCTACAGACTTTATGATCCAGCCAAACTGCTCCACTTGCTTTGATTGAACATGACACTCCATCTCCTATCTTAATGCTCTCCCTCTTCCCCTCACCAACCAAAATCTCTCTCCTTCCAAGGCACAGCCCAGACATTGCCTTCTACAAGAGACCTTCACAGATTTCCTGGTCATAAATGTTCTGGCCCACCATCCTAACAATTACTTTGAACTTATTTTGTCCTTAAATCTCATTTGTATGATAGACATCATAGTATAATGGATGGAGAGACCACCTCCAAATGGCAAAGACCCTTAGTCACATCCTTCCGCTGGCACATGATGTCCCTGTGATCCTGAGCAAGTAATCAATCTCTTAGCACTCTAGGCTAAAACTTGAGCTTACAGAGTATATACTAGGCTGCAGTAGGAGAGAGAGTTTCCTTCCTCATCTGGGGATGAACTACCAGGTCCAATCCCTGTTTCTATATTTTGTATTTACTCAGTAGTGTGTGTGTTGTTCATCCCAGGAGAATGGAAATTCCTCGGAGGCTGGTACCTCCAAATTTCCCTTTTTGTCTTTGCATTCCTAGGACCCCACACAGTGCCTAGCAGGTACTTTAATAAATGCTTGATGAATTGAGGAAAGACCTAATGAATTCTAAACCCCCAAATCAGAGGAACTGAGTCAATTTTTGTCTTAGTACCCTTAGCACCCAGAACAATGCCTTCGCAAAGGAGACTTAATAGACACTGAATTAAATTGAACAGACAAGTTTTTCCCCCCTCAGAACCTATGAGTCCTTTCTGTCTGAGTATAAGCAGAAGCAGTATTTGTGGGTGGAAATAAAAGAGCCTTTAAGCCCTTTGCTTCTCAGTGAAAAAGCACACTTGTGAAACATCTGTGAGATTTGTCCTGCTGATAAGGTATGGAACAAATGGGATAGGCCCTTTTGGAGGAGGACCTGAACCATCCAGGGGCCCTGCCAAGATGCCTCCAGGGAAAATACCAGAAGCCAACAAGATCCCAGATTAACCTGAGCAACCAGTAAGGGCTGTCTCTTGAAGTGGAAATGGGAAATGAAATGACTTGTATTTTTTAAAATGTATTTGCTTTCCTCTCTGAAGGGTTTTCTTCTCAAGGCCTGAATTGCCTTGATTTTGTATCAGTTCAATTTAAGCTCTTGGTATACAAAGCACAGTGCTAGGTGTCTATAGGTGCTGTGAAATCTTGAGAAAAGACTAATTGTTTGGGGGCAATGACAACAGCGCAGAGAAAATATATTCATAATACTCTCTAGCATCTTTTAGGATACTTTTCATTATCAGTCATTATCAGCAACAATTATACTAATAAATTTAAGGTGGTGCTATGTTTCACCCCCAAAACCTAAACAGGGATGGGGAACCTGCAGCCTGAAGGCCACATGTGGCCCAAACTTCACAATCGTGTTTGGATTCAGTCAAAAGGCCACACTTGAGGACCTAGAAGGCCACATGTGGCCTCGAAGCCCCAGGTTCCCCGCCCCTGAGTCCTAACCAATGCTTCCTAATTCTTTGACTCTCCAAAATTTTCTACTAAAAGTAGCTGTAATTAGATTTAGCGAAGAGAGACCATAGGCCGGTGAAGTACTGAGCTTGCTTTCAGCTAAAGCCAATGTGATGGGCTATTTGCTGCTAATGTGTGGTTTCCTTATTTAGCAAAAAGTGCTGCTAAAAGATCAATGAATTTTTATTAGCCATGTAACTGATGGACAAATCACTGAATCTCTCTAAGAATCAGTCTCCTCATCTGTGAGATGGGCTTGAGAGGCAGTAAAGCACCATGGATAAATAGTGGGACTAAAACATTCCATTGGCACCTCCAATTCAGCAGGTCCCAAACCAGATTCATTAATTTGTCCCTCAAACCCAGCCCTCTGCTTAGATCTCCTGGCTTTCCCTGATACAATGGGAAAATGATCTTCGAGATTCTCCAAGTGCAGAAGAGGATGAGTACCTAATTGGCCTCCCTGCCTCCCTTCACCTCTTGAACCCATCCTCTCTATAGCTGCTAAATTGATACGCCTAAAACACAAGCTTCTGTTGCTGCTTTATAGAATGCAAACACCTCAGCCCAACATTTAAACCCCTCCACAGTCTGGGTCCCATTACACTTTTCTAATTTTATTTCATCTTACATTTTATATTTGGCATCTTACATCTTCATGTGCTTTTGCAGTAAAAGTGGCCTGCATGACATTCCACCTCTTGCATTTTGCCTTTGCAAAAGTGATCCCCCACTTTCCAGCAGTGGCTACACTTTCTCTCCCACCCACACCCCACCAGCTCACTGGTCCTGATGAAACAGGATATTCTTTGCTTCTCATAGCTACTTCCAGAGCCCTCCTCTACCATCACTTAGTAATTTCTCCTTCTTTGAGATTCACAAATTTACCACCTAATCTAGATCCTGGCCTGCGATTTATCGACTCCCAGGCCACTCTCCTTCCTTTTCCAATGAATTAAGTGCCTGGTTCACAGCCTTTCTTTCCATCCCAACCCCTGCCTCCTAATTAATTTATATTGGAGCTCCCTCAAACACCCTAACTCAATTTCTATGACATACTCCCCGTCTCAGCTACACACAAAGACGGCTATAGCCCTTTATCTTACCATCTCCTACAAATGCTCCACTTCCATGTTTACGACCTCTGAAATTCCTTTGTCTGATCATAATCTCTTATCATTTCATCTTTCCTTCTGCCATATACTCCCTAACCTTGTTCTTTATGCTCACTAGGACCTTCAATCCCTCTGCCTCTCATTTATTTCCTAGGCTATCACCCCGTTCATTGGCTATTCTCCTCACTTCCCTATCTCAATCCCTCCAGTGAAGCAGTTCTTTGGATGCTGACAGCATCTTCCTGCATATGGCCTTTGTAGTTACTTCTGGTATTTATAG